CTGCAGCAAACAGAAATAGTCACTCCGATATTGTCCGTAAATAGACAAATTTGCAAGATGGGCGGCTTGGAAAAAGCGTTTACCCCCGCGCCCTGCTTGCAAAGGGCTGAACTAAAAGTCCTGAATTTCCTCTGCGTTCTTGCTGCCCTGATTTTGCAAAACTCGTGTCCATTGGCAGCTGGAGGTGGGGGGGGTTTCTGCCCCTGCAAAATGAGTGAGGAAAAGGAAGTTCGAGGCAAAAATAAAAAAATAAACCAGACCTAAGATTTGGACTGATAGGAAACATCGTTTCCAAAAAAAAAAAAAATCAGGCCAGTGCAGCGCCACAAATCAGAATCGGGAAGTTTCCCACGCGCGGCAGTTTTTGAAGACCGGCTCTGGGGCAAGTTTCGAGTGTTTTGGGGCAGCGGGGAGTGAGGGAGTTGATAAATGAGGTGTTTCTCCCAGCGCCGCGCTGCCAAAACTGCCAAAACCCCCCCGTGGGAAAAGCTCCCGGCGAGAGGCGCCGCGCAGTCCTCCCCCAGCCCTCGGCCTCAGTTCGTTCTCCTTTAAATCTGCGCTTTGCAATCCGGTTAAAAAAAAAAAAAAGGATGATTTTTCTCGTTTGCCTGAGGCAAAGCAGGAGCCCAGGGGTGGCGGAGCAGCGGTACGGGGGCTGATGTTCGCCGGGGTTAGTCACCCATGGCTCTGAGTTGCCGCCACTTGTTTCTGCGGGTGATTCACTTGGTGCCGGTTTGGCTTTTGCACAGGGTGGGGGGAAAAAGGGGGGAGGGAGACCTAAAGGAGTTAAGCTTCTCCGGCCGTGCTACTTTTGCATTCAATTTATTGCAATTTTGCAACATTGCGTTTGCCACCTCCCTAGGAGCCGCTCGGGAAGGAGTGGGGAGCAGCGCGCCGGCGGGTTTTATTCTTCCCAAGCCTCGTCCGCTGAGCGGGAGCCTGCTGCGTTTCTCCATTGGGTGCTCACCCCCGCGCCTTTCTTATTCTCGTTATTAAATTAGGCATTGCGATAGCAGCAGCCACCGTTGCAGCGGATTAGGGGGGTTTCGTGGCTCCTGGAAAGCTGAATTTTTACCACTAAGGAGGGCAGCTGGAGGACCCAGAGCATCCCTGGGGTCGGTGCTACCTGTTGCACCTCAAAGGTGAGCGCAGAAGCTGCTTGGGGACCGTTGGCCCATGCAAAGTCTTGAGAAGTTGGTATCAATAGCATCAAAGCAGCTTAATCTGTCTCGGTAATTTCCCCTGAATTGCCTCAGTCCTTAAAGGCTTGAACTGATTGTGCCTTTAGATATTTTTCCTGCTTGGGAGGCAGGGACCAGGGTATAGCGATCTCTTGGAAAGGGAACAAATTGAACTGCTTGGTCCGAAAACGCAGCAATAAATTAGATTTGCACAAAGGCGCCGCTAATAGAAACCTCCTTTCCCGCGGTTTTGGGGAACGGTGCCTCGTCTTGGCCTCGAGAGGGGAAAGCACCCGAGCCGCCGGGGCCGGCAGGGCTGCGGCCAGGGAAGGGTTAATGCTGGCTGCAACCCAGCCCAGCTGCAGGGTGTAAAAGCCAGGATGGGGGAAAAGAGGAGATTTTTCTAGCAGGAACGAAGCAGAAAGGGTCAGATTTAGTCTTGGAGGGAGCAGAGGCTCCCTTGGCATCAGGACTGCGGTTTCCTCCCTGCAAAACGTATTCGGTGCAAGCCTGAGCTCCCAGCCGCGGTGGGTGGGCAGAAAAAGGGGCCGTTGGGCACCCTATAAATAAAAAAGGACAGTTTGCATGGGAAAAATAATGTCCTGGGCGCTGTGCAAGGCAGCGAGGGTTATTTCTGCATCGATGAAACAGGAGGTGCTCAGCAAAGTCTCGGAGCTGGAGCATCTGGGCTTCGCCGTCCTCTTTTAATCCCCGGGAGGGAGGCGTTCCTGACAGATCTTGGGTTTTGTTTTGCTTTGTTTTCTTCTTCAAAGGGACCTTGAAAGCTTGAGTTACGTGCAGGAATAAACAAGTATTTGTTTTTTTCCAAGGAAGAGCTACTTGCAAGTGTCATTCCAAAAAAAAAAAAAAAAACCCACACATAAGAAAAACCTTAAAAAGAGCAGCTCGCCGTGGGAGAAAGCTCTAGCACTTCATTAGGAAAAACGATGGGGCTTTGCAGGAAGAGAAGCTGGATCGCAGGCGTTTCTTCGCCGCCGGCCGGGGGGAGGGATGCGAAATGGGGGTTTTGGGTCTGCACGTCGCATTTTTGACGCTTCCGCCTTCGTCGTGCGGCCCCAGGTGTCACGAGCGCGCCGGAGCTCAGGAGCCTGCAAAAGCGCGGGCTGGCTCCCCGCTAAACCCCTGGGGGTTAATCCCTGTGCTGCCGCCTCGGCGCACCCAGACCTTCCCGTGGCACCTGCCCCTCAGCTCTGACTCGCCTGAAAAGATGAAAAAAGGAGGAGACGCTTCCGAGGTGCAAAGCGAGGTGCGTGCGTCGACGCATATCCACCCACGTGACACGCATATACGTGCAATTATCCGCATATATATAACATATATCCTGTATATCGCTTCTGCCAGGGTTGAAGGGGTGATTCCCAGCAAGAGTTTGGGTCGGGATCCAGCTGCTTCGGAGTGAGCGGTTTTTCCGCCGGCGGGCCGGGACGCGGCTCTGCCGTTGCCCCTCGGGGCCCGGGGGCCCCTCTC